TATATATATTGTTTTCTTTATATACTACTGTTTTCATATATATGCTGTATTCTTTTGGATCTCATTGACAAAAACTGTTTTTTATTTTAAAAAAAAGAAAGAAAGTCCTACAAATTGGAACAAAATGCACAAGAAAACTTAACTTTAAAAACTTTATTACTTGCATCTTATGATAAATTGCTTATGATGCTCCTCATTTATAAGTCGCTTTGGATAAAAGCATCAGCTAAATTAATAAATGTAAATGTAATTTCTTTCATAAATGTTTTAATTTAAATCCAAGTCGTTCCAAAGTGACAGCATGCAGTTATGAGTTCAGTGCAATAAAAACCTATAAAAACTAGTAGAAATTATTGCGACAGGCTAATCGAATGTAGGGAAAAATACCTAAAGTTATAAAATAATGATGAAAACATTTTTATAGAACAAAAGTGTAACTCACTCTCACATCAATGGTCACACAATTGCTCCTGTTTTTGTGCCAAATAAATAATGCATTGTTGCATTTTTTAATAGCTCACTTTCCCTCTCCTTTATCACCCACAGCCCCTCTATCATTCTTTCAGTCCTGTAGTCTTTATTCCCCCCACCCTCTCTTCAAAAATTAGCCATACTATACTTGTGAATGAAATGTTCCTGCCTCCTTTATTTTATCATCTGTGGTTAAAACATTCTTCAAAGCTGCCCCTAGTTATCTAAGTGACTTACTAAACTTGATATAATGCACCACATGAGCGGATACAACCAAGATAACAACACAAGTAGTGGCAAGTTGTTGCCCACAATTCCTACATGTGTGAAGTGTTCTGTGTTGTTTACTGACTACATCTTTACAGATACACATACTGTAACTATTGTGTGTACTGTAACATTGCAGAGACCTTGAAACCACAAGATTTGACTCAAATCTGTTTTGTAGGTATTTTCATTGGTTTAAAGCTGCATTCCATTTATCTTTGGTTTGTGAAGTTATTTTTGTTTCTTATCTGATTATTAAATGTGTCTACAGTGTAAAAAAATTTTTTTTTCAAAGCTGTAAATAAAACAAAGATTATTGGAGTATGTTTTACAAGAAAATAATATTTCAGAACATTAAAATTTCATTCTTAATTCAATGTGTTACTTGAGATTTCTTTGTAATTAATTGTGAAATTGACTAGCAATTTCTGAGTGAAAAATATTTCTACATCAAAATATTTTTTCAGTGTAGATATTTTTTTCAAACCACTAAATTTCTACACAATCCTACGGTGGCCGAGAGACCTCAACGTGCTGCAACTTCAGAAAACACATGAAAAAAAAATAGAAATAGAAAAGGCACCAGTAAATCAAGAAAGCATCTTCAGGTGGAAAGCAGGTGCTACAAATGCTCACAACACAAACAAATAAAGAAACGCACTGCAAATGCTCACAACACAACCGAACAAAGAATTTTATTTGCAGCACGTTTCTTTGTTTGGTTGTGTTGTTAGTATTTGCAGTGTGTTTTTTTATTTGGTTGGGTTGTGAGCATTTGCAACATGTGTGTTGTCAAATTTATGAAGTTGTTTTCTTAATTTGCAGGTGTTTTTTTCTATTTGCAGTGCGTTGAGCTCTCTTGGCCACCGTACAATCCCCTTCCAAACATTGTAATTATTCCAAAAGCAGATGTTTCGAAAGCTTTTTAATGTTTACCTAGAGTGTATACTGTATATGGGGTGACTGGGGCTAGATGTCACATTTTTAGCATTTGTAGCATTTTTTGAATATGCATCAAGCATTCAAAGACTTGTTATCAGAATATATTATGAGAATGCTAATTGTGCAACAAGTATGCGGTTACATTTAGTAATTTTATTGAATTAAATCAAAGCAAGAGAATTAAGGAGTAAGCCTACTTTATGCAGCACATGCATGACACATGTTCCCTATCGACACTTCACTCGCACTGCGTCTGCTAAGACTCTATGGGGAAAAATCCTTTTTCTCCGATGACTGAAGCTTTTTCAATAACACAGTGTAACTGCACGGCCATTGGTTCGTGCAGTAAATTAAAACTGTCTGGACTCCCCTGGACGAGTCTGTGGCCGCACATCTCTGCCCGCCCATGGCTATCGGCTGGAAGACGAAGGTCGCTCACCCATACAAGCCATGCAGGACGACGTCAACCCTTGCCGGACGAGCCTACGCATCTGCTGGACAAGCGGCCTCTGTGCTTCATTCCATGGTGGTCTTACAGGTCTATCAGGCCAAACTCCTCCAGAGCATAGATGATCTAGCAGCTTTTAAAGAGCTGCGCAGAGTGACCGACTTGACTTTACGTACCACCAAAATCATGGCCCAGGCGATTGGCAGGTCGATGGCCAGCTTAGTGGTGCTCGAGCGCCACCTATGGCTGACCTTAACAGAGATTAAGGATGGGACAAAGTCCCCTTCCTGGAATCCCCGGTCTCCCCCTCTGGCCTCTTCGGACCTGCAGTTAAGGGATTCGCCGAGCGCTTCACTGCTGCACAGAAGTCGTCCCAGGCCATGCGACACTTCCTTCCCAAGCACTCCAGCTCTACGGTTGCTTCTAGTCCAAAAGCCCTGGCCCCTTGGAAAGACTCTCATTGGATGGAACGGGGTGTGACCCTGGGAATTGTCTGCAGAAGGAAGGTAGTCTCGACAGACGCTTCCAACATGGGTTGGGGAGCGCTGTGCGATGGCAAACCAGCCTTCGGCCCCTGGTCGCAAGAGGAAAGACGACTACACATCAACTGCCTGGAGATGCTGGCAGTGCGTTTAGGCTTCCGCACCTTCTTGCCAGACCTAAGGGGACACCATGTCCTAGTCTGATCGGACAGCATGACGGTAGTGTCCTACATAAATTGCCAGGGAGGACTCTCCTCGAGGTGCCTCTTTACTCTAGTAGAGCGCCTCCTAGAGTGGGCACAGCTCAACTTGCGTTCGCTGAGAGCGACACACGTGCCGGGCAGGTTGAACCAAGGAGCTGACATGTTGTCTCGGAGCAACGCCCCCTCGGAAGCTCCATGGCCCATTCCCCTGAGACGAGACCTCCTCTCTCAGGCAAACAGAGCAATCTGGCACCTCCAGCCCGAGCTGTGGGCCCTGCACATCTGGCCTCTCGATGGAAGCCTGAAGGCTTCCCCGAGAGTGTTTTAAATACAATATCTCAGGGTAGAGCACCATCCACGAGACCCCTCTATGCCCTTAAATGATCTGTCTTCTCCGCCTGGTGCACAACCCCGTGGCAAAGACCCAGCTTCATGCGACATGTCTCTGATATTGTCCTTCCTACAAGAGCTGTTGGAAAAGGGCTGTTCCCCTTCCACGCTCAAAGTCTATGTAGCAGCTATAGAAACCTATCACGCTCCTATAGCAGGCCAATCGGTGGGCTGGTACAACCTGGTTGTTCGCTTCTTGAAGGGGTCTAGGAGGCTTAACCCGCCTCGCCCCGCCACAGTCCCTACATGGGATCTGTCCACGGTTCTGAGGGCTCTAAGGAGCCCTCCCTTTGAGCCGCTACAATTCATTGACTTTCGTCCCCTGACGATAAAAAACATTCTGCTACTGGCGTTAGCATCGGTAAAGCAGATGGGAGATCTACAGGCATTCTTTGTGAGCCCCTCTTGCCTGGAATTCAGGCCCAATGATTCTAAGGTCGTCCTGAAACCAAGGCTCGGGTACATACCTAAGGTGCTCTCCACCCCGTTCAGAGCACAGGTGATAACTCATTCGGCACTTCACCCCTCGGAGGAGGAAGACCAGGAGTTAAAACTACTCTCCCCAATCAGGGCATTGAGAATCTATAAAGAGCGTTCCGCCCCAATCAGGCAGTTGGAACAACTCTTTATATGCTTTGGTGGCAGCACCAGAGGTCTTCCGGTCACTAAGCAGAGACTCTCCAAATGGGTAGTTGATGCTATTGCGCTATCTTACTCCTCCTTTGGCCTACACTGCCCCATGGTAGTAAGAGCCCATTCGACTAGAGGCATGGCCTCGTCTTGGGCTTGGTCTAGTGATGTGTCCATTGCAGAAATCTGTGCGGCCGCCGTTCACATTCACCAGGTTCTATAATCT